GTCACACTAACTCCTGTAATTACACACTAGTCACGAAAAACTCAAGAAAATGTCTGATAATAATAGCCTCTTGGATGAGGGGCGAAACGTTTCTTTTTTAACAAAAAAACGAAGTCCAGATGACATGATTCAACCTTTTTTGTTGTTATATACCTGGATGACTGAGAAAACAAACTTTGTGTTTTTGAAACCATTAGTGAAAAGGCCAGACTTCAGGGGTATCTGAGGCAGGCTTGAAACACAAGAGTCAGGGTGGCTTCTGGGTAATACCAGATGGCTAGGCCTCAGACTGACGAAGCCTCTTGGATGAGGGGCGAAACGTTTCTTTTTTAACAAAAAAACGAAGTCCAGATGACATGATTCAACCTTTTTTGTTGTCTGATAATAATGTTGTTTCTGCCCTCATCCCAACCTTGGACCCCCACTAATTACAGCACACCAAATGACTTTAAAAATGTGTCAGGACTTAATTTCCTGCACGTAAACTCTCGTAGCCTTCTGAGAAAACTTGATGCCTTGAAAATTCTGGTCAGTTCTTCTGGGGCAGATGTAATCTTCATCACTGAAAACTCAACAAATCTATACTGAATAATGACCTGGTAATCAATAGATTTAACATCTATCGCTGTGATCGTCAAAAGGGGGGGGGGGGGGGGTCGCTATTTACATCAGAGATTCTCTGGTTTCTAGTCTTGTGTCTGCTAAAACAATCCCAAACCAGTTTGAGGCCTTAGCTGTAAACATCACTTTGAATGGAGGCCATATCTTATCTGTAGTGGGTTGTTATCATCCCCCCTCAGCAACACCTGAAGCTCTGTCCTCCCTGATTGAATTCCTTGGAAATTTCAAATTCAAAGAGATTTTTTTGGCAGAAGATTTCAACATTGACTGGGATAAGTCGACCCCCCTCTGTGTTTTAAATTCAAGGAATGGTGCCTGTCTCTCAATCTAACCCAATTGATCGACTGTCCCAATAGACGAAACAAAAACCGTCCTGAAAACTCTTCCATCTTAGACCTGTTTTTAACAAATATGCCTCACAAATTCCCTGGTACAGTTGTATGCGCTGACATTTTAAGTGATCATTGTGTAATAACGGATCTGATCTTCCACCTTCTAAGCCCAGATTAATTCAAAAGAGGGATCTGAAACGCTTTTGCGAACAGTCATTCCTCTGGCATCTATCCCACTTTGACTGGCATCATATTCTGTTAACTGATGATGTGAACTCTGCTTGGAACTATTTTCATAATAGTTTCATTTATTTCCTGAACATACATGCTCCTTTTCATCAGTTCAGAATAAAGGGACGAGACAGCCCCTGGTTTACTCCAGAGCTAGCTGACCTCCTGCACAGGAGAGATCATCTTTGGGCCACAGCGAGAAAATCTGACTCAGACACTGATTGGTTGAGTTTTCGGCAGATGAGGAATAAATACACAACTGCTGTCAAAGCAGCAAAACGCAACTATTTCTTATCTCAGACCTCCAAAAATCTAAATGACCCTAACAGATTCTGGAAAACCATCAAATCTCTCTCAGGTACCCCCCAATCATCTGACCTCCCATCACAACTTCTCGTTAACTCTGTTCCTGTGTCAAATAAGCACGAGATCCTGAACTGTTTCAACAAACATTTTGTTGCTTCTGGTTCTTTATTTGACACAGTTACTAACAGAAAATCAGCCACTTCACTTAATAACCAAACTTCTACAAATCAAATCCCTCCTACAAGTCAATCCTCAGTTAATCACACCTTCTCTTTTTCTCCATTCTCAGTCAGTGAGGTCAATAAACTGTTAAAAGATCTTGATCCTAAAAAATCTGCAGGTCCAGATGAACTTCCACCTTATTTCTTAAGGCTGGCTGCTCATATCATCACAGTCCCTGTGACCCACATCTTCAATCTCTCCATAAAACAAAACTCCATTCCAGACGCTTGGAAAACAGCCTTTGTTCTTCCTCTGCTCAAGGGAGGTGACCCCACCTCACTGAACAACTATGGACCAATCTCTAAACTCTGTATTTTAGCCAAGGTTCTAGAAAAACTGATAAACTCTCAAATCAAAAATTACCTGGACTCATTTAACACTTTACCTCTCCATCAATCTGGTTTCAGGAAACAACACAGCACAACCACTGCTTCACTGAAGGTTCTTAATGACATCGTTGAATCACTGGACGCTAAGGATTATTGTGCTGCACATTTCTTAGACCTGTCTAAAGCTTTTGACACTGTGGATCAGAACATCTTGTGTCATAAGCTCTCAGAAATCGGTTTGTCAGAACACACCATTGGTTGGTTCTCTAACTATCTTTCAGACCGGAGGCAATGTGTTCAACATAATGGTACTTCCTCCAGTTATTTAACAGTCAACAATGGTGTACCACAAGGCTCAGTCTTAGGACCCACCCTCTTTACAATCTACTTAGGTAATGTAGGTCAGAGCGTCCCTGATACATCCATACATTTCTATGCTGATGACACAGTTGTTTATTGTCGAGCTAAAACAGTTGATAAGGCTTTCCAGCTTTTGAATCTGTATTTGACATCATCCAGACTGATTTGTTTCACCTCAAACTTGTCCTAAATACCGACAAAACTAAAGGGATGCTTTTTTTCAAACAGGAAGTTGGTCCCAGCAGTTCTTCCTCCGATTTCATCTTCAACTGGTGTCTCCATTGAGTTTGTTGATTCCTATAAATATTTGGGTATCTCTTTTAAGATCAATTTGGAAAACCTAGTAAAGAAACTGGAAGTTAAACTGAGTTTCTTTTTCAGAAACAGATCCTGTCTAACTTTGAATGCTAGGAAACGCCTTGTATCTGTGACTTTCCTTCCCTCCACTGATTACAGTGACATTATTTACATGAACGCTCCTACAAGAACCCTGCAGATGTTGGATGCTGTCTATCATGGTGCACTAAGATTCATAACTGGCTGTGATTATCGTACCCACCACTGCACCCTGTATTCATTGGTTAACTGGACATCATTAACTTCACGCAGACTCTCTCACTGGTACATTTTCATCTTTAAATCACTTCTTGGTCTGCTGCCTTCATACATCTCCTCCTACATGTCTCTGTGTGAGTGCAGCTACAGCGTGCGCTCTCAGGACATCATTACCTGCAGTGTTCCCTCAATGAGGACTGAACTAGACAAAAGGACCTTCTCCTACTCCGCTCCTGTTTCCTGGAATATCTTGTAAAAAGATTTGAAGCTCTCGACCTTGACCTCTCTAAGTGGCTTTAAAAATCTGTTGGACTCCTGGCAGGGACCAATGCAGACATGTTCCTGTTTTTAGTTTTCTACATTCGTCTCATAATCTAGCTGTTTGTAAAAAAAAAATTTTTTTTTAATCTGTATGCCTTTTTATAATTGTTTATTGTTGTCTTGTTGTCCATTGTTGTCATCATTCTTTGTTGAAATCAGGTCTCTCTTGTAAATGAGTCGTCGAGGCTCATTGGGATTTACCTGTCTAAATAAAGGTTAAATGAATGAATAGTATCATTGTTGCCACAATTTTCAAAAATATTAGAGAAATTATTTGTAACTAGATTAAATTGATTTATAGATAAACACAATATTTAAGTAGTAAGCAATATGGGTTTAGAGCAAATAATTCAACATCAATGGCTCTCATGGAACTAATAGGGGAGTGATGGTGCAGTGGTCAGAGAGGTGGGCCTGTGATCCGAAGATCGCCGGTTCACGCCCCGGCCCCGACAACATCAAAATTGTGGGTGGGGTAGGTGAAGTACCCACACATGCCCCCATCCTCATTCGCCCCACTCTGGGCCCATGAGCAAGGCCCTTAACCCCCACCATGTGCTCCCTAAACAGGTCTCTCTTGAAAATGAGTTCTCGTGGGTCAATGATACTACCTGTATAAATAAAGGCTAAATGAAATAGAAGAGATAACAACTGCTGTTGATCAAAAACAGTATTGTGTTTTTGTTGCTTTGGAAAAGGCCTTTGACACTACTGACCACATCATTCTCCTTGAAAAACTGAATAAATATGCATTAGAGGATTAGCACTACAGTGGATAACCAATTATTTGAATAATAGGAGACAGTTTGTACAGATAAATCATGTAAGATCTGAATTTTATATTAATGGATGTGGAGTCCCTCAAGGCTCTGTGTTGGGAACAAAGTTGTTTATTTTGTATGTGAATTATCTGGTTAGTGTGTCAGGGCTTTTGAAGTGTCTTTTATTTGCAGATGGTACAAAAATTCTTTGTTCGGTGAAGAAACTGAATGGATGTTAGAAATGATACAGGCAGAATTCGTAAAAATACTAACTTGGTTCCAACTTAATAAGTTATCATTAAATTTGGAAAAATCGACATGATATTTACAAAGTAGTAATAGAAATAAAATTATCGAAGTCCCATTTAAAATCGACAGTATTAAAATTCATAGAGTTAATGAAGTAAAATTTTTGGGTGTCATTATTGATGAGAAGCTGATGTGGAAATCTCATGTGAATTACTTAAGAATAAAAATAGTAAAATCAGTTGCATTACTGTATAAAGTAAAATAGTTTTGTGATGACAAATCTTTGTATATATTTTATAATGTAATGATTGTTCCGTATTTAATCTGTTGTATTGAAGTTTGGCACTAAACCAAGAGTAAGTAGCATACCTGCTGAAGTGTGATATCTCTGTTTGCATCACTGTCTCTCATTTCAGTCTTAACATCTTGAAACACTGAGAATCTTTGATTCCTCTTGTTAGTAAAATAAAAGTTTGAATGAAAGAAACAGTTGCTAAATAAATAAATCCAGTTTTTCTTGCTGTGTATGATCCATAGTTAATATGATTAAATGTAACATCTTTTGACAGCTGAGTATTTCCAGAGCTTTTTAATAAAGCTTTCTTAATCCTGTCACTCTATGAATTATCGCCAGCTCTCCTGCTTCTTCTCTTCACTTTCTAAACGCTCATATTGAGTTTTTCTCTCTCCTTCTGTTCCTCCTCTCCTGACAGATGATAGACAAGAGGCCACATTGAACCTGTCTACCAACGGCATTAGCAGCATCAACATGTCAATAGAAATAAATGGAGTTGTCTACACAGGTAAATAGAGGGGCTGTTGCTGCTGTAATTGCAGGAAGGAAATTCAATAAGCACCCTAGTGCTTAGTCCTCTCTGCATTTTGATGTATTTGCTATAAAATCCATCTTGATGAGGTGGCAAACTAACAGAGCTGAAAAAGTTAAATATCTTCAAATTGGGCCTGTGGGTTTCCGGTCGATGGGCCTGTCTCTGTCTGGCTCTACAGTATTTGGTAACTAGTTTTCTGCCCTGTTTTACACAAAACTGACACTATAATCTGTCCTCATGTCTGAAGAACTAAGTGATGAAATCTAATGAATAGCTTTATTAGCAGCTTCCTGCTGTAAGATGCTTTTCTCAGCATGTCTGTCCAGGATGGACAGATACTATGGCACTCGTATCACACGTGTCTCAGACTGATGTTAAACATAGTGTTTTACTGCTGTTTGTATGCTGTATGTTGTTTTTCTTTCAGTTGCTCCCTTCTGCAGAGGTCACCTTATTTTTTTGCAATTGTTTTACTGGGTGCCTTTTCTGACTCAACCAAGGCTTGAACCTGCAGCCCCAGGATTACAGTGACCACTGAGCTATAGCAGCCCCAAATTGGTCAGTGTTGTGATCTCGTAATTCTGAGGGTGTAGGTTCAAACCCAGGTTGGGTCAGGAAAGGCAACTGCTGTAGAACAACTGGCAAGAAACTTTCTAAGTAATTAGCTCACTGTGGCAATGGGAGCAGCCAAAAGAAAAAGAAACGTTCAAATTAAATGTTATCTAGTTAAGGAAGCTAGTAGTTTACCTCAAATCTTCACTTTTTTGCAATCCCCATCCTGAGCAGCACTTTAGAGACAGTGAAAATCAATGCCTCAGTTTAAACAGGAAGAAACCATCAACAGAACCAAGATGAGCGGTCATCTACCTCGGCAGATTGGAGTTTGAGAGGACAGGAAAGATACAGGGAGAAACACAATAGGATTGGTCCAGGTGTAGATTTTATGGGTAAGCTGATGAAGATTCTCAGTCATCCAGGACATGATAAATAAAAAAAAGCGTTCAACACAAAAACAACTGGACTTTATTTTTAACAGAAGACGTTTCGCTCCTCATCCGAGGAGCTTTCTCAATTCAAAGAGCAGAGAGTGAGAGATTCAGGTTATAAGGCTGAGTGAGATAAGACGCACACACACATGTAGATTGATAATTCACACCTCACACCTTAACAGTAGGGGGTTCTTAAGGTCTTTTGTTCCTCTAATTCACAGACGAGGCCCCTCTGTTTCCATCAGGTGTGAAAACCGGCTGGGAATCTGTTTTAAAGTTGCATTATATGTTTTTGAAAGTGGAAATCTGAGGCCTCCTCCTCTGTTAAGAGACAGCTTTTCTCTTTTTACATAAATTGCTTCCTTCACCCCCCCCCCAAACCATCTGTGTTCTCGGTCCAAAATGTGCACATTTTGGTCCTCAAAAGAGTGTCCCTTATCTGTGAGGTGGAGGTGAACAGCTGAGTCTTGTCCAGAGGAGGTGGCTCTCCTGTGTTGAGTCATGCGTCTGTGAAGAGGCTGTTTAGTTTCTCCAATGTAGAGGTCTGGACAGTCCTCGCTGCACTGGACCACATACACTACACCACTCTGTTTGTGTATGGGTGTCTTGTCCTTAGGGTGGACCAGCCTCTGTCTGAGAGTCCTGCTGGGTTTGAAATGTACTGGGATCTTGTGTTTGTTGAAGATCCTTCTGAATTTCTCTGATACTCCAGCAACATAAGGAATGACAATGTTTTTACGTCTGTTGTTCTCCTTTTTCAGTTTATTGGTGTGTTTTGTAGATTTCCTCGCTGACTTGACAAAAGCCCAGTTAGGATATCCACATGTTTGAAGAGCTTCTTGAATGTGTTTCAGTTCCTTTTCCTTCCCTTCTGTCCTTGTGGGGACGCATTCGGCCCGATGTTGTAAAGTTCTGATGACAGAGAGTTTGTGTTCCAGTGGATGGTGGGAGTCAAACAGAACATACTGGTCTGTGTGGGTTGGTTTCCTGTACACTTCAATGTTGAGGCTGTCCTCTCTCTCCATCTGAACCAAACAGTCCAAAAAAGGCAGCTTGTTGTCGTTTGCATCCTCTCTGGTGAACTTGATGTTGTTATCGACCGAGTTAATGTGTCTGGTGAACGCTTCTATTTCCTTGGCTTGGATTTTGACCCAGGTATCAGGTATTGATCAGTATCATTTGAGGAACAAAATGTGCACATTTTGGACAGAAAACACAGATGGTTTGAGAGGGGGGTGAAGGAAACAATGTATGTAAAAAAAGAAAAGCCGTCTCTTAACAGAGGAGGAGGCCTCAGATTTCCACTTTCAAAAACCTATAATGCAACTTTAAAACAGATTCCCAGCCGGTTTTCACACCTGTTGGGAACAGAGGGGCCTCGACTGTGAATTAGAGGAACAAAAGACTTATTGTTAATGTTTGTTTAGGTGTGAATTGTCAAGCTACATATGTGTGTGTGTGTCTTATGTGTGTGTGTGTGTCTTATCTCACTCAGCCTTATAACCTGAATCTCTCACTCTCTGCTCTTTGAATTGAGAAAGCTCCTCGGATGAGGAGCGAAACGTCTTCTGTTACAAATAAAGACCAGCTGTTTTTTATTGAACGTTTTTTTAATTTTATGGGTAAATAAAAACAAAATAAAACCGGATAATAACAGCAACAAGTGCATACATTAACTTGGTAAGTAGAGTAAGCAAAGACAGCAGCAGAGTGAGGAAATGTGGTCAGTTTGTCCTCCAGCATTCTAAACCTATAGCAGCAGAACTAAGGGATATCTAACAAAGTTAAGTCACGTCCTCTGGACAGATTAAAAATTAAAATTAAAAAATTGTTGAAACGTTTCATCTTTTATCCAAAAGACTTTGTCAGTCTGAGGAGCTGCACTAAACTCAGTCTTATAAATAATACGTAGCATATTGGATCAACCAGTTTGCTGGTGACAGTCAACACCAGCTGTTCACATGACCATCAGCCTAACGATGGATCACTGGTGCTCTGCTAATCCACTATGAGATGACCTTATTTATATGACTGAGTTTAGTGCAGCTTCTGTTTTTCATTTATTCATTCACTTAAAAGAAACAAAAGAAACAAATCAAATTCATCAAAAAGAAAAAATATTGAATGAAAATGGTGCAGAAAGAAGAAGAAAATTCTTATAATATCTGTCCCTTATTAAAAATATTTAGAATAAACAACTCAGGCTCTAACAATCAAAGCGAAAACAAAAATCATCAGACATTATTCACATGGCACCGTACTTTCCTAACAATTTAAACTTAATCATCTTTTTCAACATATAAATTCAGACAATTCCACAATCCTGCTCCCTGAACTACAACGCAGCTCCTTCAGACCAGTTCTAAATGGAGGTTTTACAAACATTTTCATTCCCTTAAGGATATAATGACTCTTTTTTTTTTTTTTTTTTTACAAATTTTAATTGAATATTTGGGGGTAATATTTTTTATGAGCTTTATACATGACTTGTACAATACTATATTCAACCAAATCATAACATTTTAATAATTTCAACTGATGAAGTAATATATTTGTTGGGTGACCATAGCACTTCCTACTAATAGTTCTTATATCTCTTTCTGGTAAAATAAAAATAGGATTTGTAATTGTTTTGCTTTTCCCCAAACTTCAGTGCAATAGCTTCTCAGACTGACTGAAGTCTTTTGGATTAAAGACGAAGCGTTTCAACTATTTATTTATTTTTTTTAATCCGTCCAGAGGACCTGACTTAACTTTGTTCGATTTTTCTACTTGGATTATTGAGCATGCACCAGGATAACTAAGGGATAACTCAGGAATCCTAAACCGACCCTAACTATAGGATTTATCAAGAAGGAATGTCTTCAGTCTCGTCTTTAAAGTAGACTGGTGTCAGGCTCACGGACAGACTGTTGGTTCCACAAGTGGGGAACCAGAGAACTGAAAGATCTGCCTCCCATTCTACTTTCAGAGACTTTAGGAACCACAAGTAAACTTGTGTTTGTTTGTTTGTTTGTTTGTTTTTTCCTTTTTGTAGTAAAAGAGTACAAACAAATTTTTCTGCATCTGTGCATGTGTTAAAACTTATCAGGCAGTTTAATAACCAAAATCAAAACAGTATGTTATCTGAAGCTGACAATCTATATTTTCTCCTCAGGCATCCTCTTTGCCCAACAGTCAGCAGTAGATGGGATGATGGAACATCGTGGAAAACATAGCTACTGTAAGACTCAGGGGAAAAACACTGCAACGTATTTCGAGCCTTCCTGTTCCTCCTTGGCGTCATCTTTGTCTTCACTCCATGGACACAAAAACTCCTTCCCATGAGCTTTGTGTTTGTGTCTCTGTCATGTCCCAAATGTGGAACATTTCACTTGCTGTCACCCAAAGATGCAACCTGAGAAAAGTCTAATGAAGATTCACTTCTGTGCTCTCTCAGGCAAAAGAGATGGCAGCTGAAACAACACCTTTAACCAACAAATGTTCTGGTTTTCTGACTAACCTTTGAAACCCACTAATAACAGTTTATACCAAAGATGAGACCAAATGTGCACTGCTTCAACTCATTCACTGACTGTGAATTGTGACAGACCATTCTGAAGATCAACAGAGGGACTGTACACTGCATTGCTCTATGTTCTCGTTAGAAACTTCAGACAAAATACAATAATAGATCACCATAAAAATGTAAAAAAATGTACGATATTAATGTACATTTGCAACAATATTACAGGTAAAACGGTTCATGTGTACATACAGTATTCCTGTACTAGCATAAATACTATACTGTATAAACTAATTCATTTGCTTGTAGTTCCAGAGAAGCCTACCACAAATTAACAGATACAGTAATACAAGACAGCACTGATTAGATCAGTTAGCCGAAAATGCTTTTATTAAAAACACTTGTTTAAATATCTGTACATTTTTATGCATAGCACAAGGGATAGAGATGTACTTTCCTAATGTAAACTTAATTTTTGGAGGCTAAGTGTTATTCAGCCCGATCTACTCTTCCTGGTCCTCCTTGTGACACTGAAGAGGTGTGTCAAACACGATAACCCCACAATGTCCAGAGCTTTTGGCATCTTTCTCACTCCTCACACCCTGACGGTTTTTAATTACTTTGATGACCTCTGCCAAGTTATTACACTCACCTTCACTTAAATCTTGAGATTCTGGCTTCTCAAAGTAAATGAACTGTACTTATACAGCACCTTTCTATCTGATTAAGACACTCAAAGCGCTTTCCACTACAATCTGTGTCCTCATTCACCCATTCATACAGCACTCTACTAGATCTCTACAAAGATAATTGAACAAATCATTCTAAAGAGACTAATCAGAGCTTTATCACAGTCAGACACTGATGGGACACACATCAGAGGCTATGACGGGTTCAGTGTCTTGCCCAGGGACACTTCAGCATGACTGCTGGTGGATTCGAACCCCCAACTCTTGCATTGGAGGACGACTGCTCTAACCACTCAGCCACAGCCGCCCAAAATTAAATGTAGATTTAGAAACTCTTTAAACGACCCCCTTTACTGTTAAGGTGTTGAGGTGTGAATTGTCAATCTACATATGTATGTGTGTCTTATCTCACTCAGCCTTATAACCTGAATCTCTCACTCTCTGCTCTTTGAATTAAGAAAGCTCCTCAGATGAGGAGTGAAACGTCATCTGTTACAAATAAAGTCCAGTTGTTTTTGTATTGAACATTTTTTGAATTTTTCATGTACTGGATGACTGAGAATCTTCACCAGCATATTGCTAAGCACTTTGGGAAGGATACCCTAGGAGCAGTGCGGGAGTTTGAGAAGATATCAAGAAAGTTTGCAGACTACAGGAATCATCTTCGTTTCAGTCTGAGATGCAGACAAGAAAAACTCACCCCCAGCAGTTTAAAACTCAACTCCACGATCAAAGGACATAGAGCAGAAGGAATTCTCCTGAAAGCTCAAAACAAGCTGCTCAGTGCGAGAATAAGACAGATCCACTTCACCATTGAAGCTCTCTCACTCAAAATGGATCAGACCCTCCAGAAGCTGTCTACTCTGCTACCATTTCCTCTGTTGGAAGAAGTTTCTTGTTTCGTTGAAAAGGCCCAGCTATCACAGCATCAAAAGAGCAAGGAACGTCAAAAAAGTAAGTTTCTAAAATTACAGCGGAGAGCTGTTTTCTCATCACAAACCATCAGTCAAGATCAGGAGGTTGTTGCCAACACTAATTTTCAGGACCAGTGGGTTAGAAATTTGTCTAACAGGACCTTGACACAACTCAAGAAAGATGTGCTGGCAAAAGGACTAAACTTTACCATCTCTCCACAAGAAATACCTGTTGTGGAACTAATCATTGTCACTGAATCCGCGATTAGGAACAACAACTTAACGGAAGGAGAGGCAGAACAGCTCAGAATGAAATATCAGCAACCCTCTCCAGTGCCAAACCGCCTCCTTCTAATCTCACACCACAGGAAAGGAAAGCTGTAACATCACTCAGCCAGGACCAAAACATCACCATTTTACCAGATGATAAAGGAAGATGCACAGTAGTCCTCAACACTTCTGATTACCAGGAAAAAATAACTACACTACTGAGCGACAGCAACACCTACGAGACCCTGAAGAGGGACCCAACCAGTGCCTACAAAAAGACAGTCACAGATTACCTGCAAAAACTTGAAAAGGAGAAAACAATCAATCGATCGTTGTATCGATCAAATACAATCTATAGATTGTACCCAGGGGAAGCCACTCCCTGTCTTTATGGACTTCCTAAAATACATAAAGAAGGAACCCCACTCAGACCCATCGTCAGCAGCATGAACTCAGTGACATACAATATTGCTAAACATCTGGCTGGTATTTTAGCTCCTCTTGTTGGAAACACACCTCATCACATAAAGAACTCCATTGATTTTGCCAACAAAGTTCAACACTTGAAACTAACCCCAGGAGCAACCCTTGTATCGTATGATGTGACTTCTCTTTTCACTTGCATACCCATCTCTGAAGCAGTAGAAACCGTCAGAAAACAACTTCTACAAGACAAGGACTTAATCAACA